CATTAGGGCAGTCCTGTCAAAAGCATCAGGAGATCAACAAAGAGTCTGAGTTCGTAGCGAAGAACGAGAGATAGGAACGAAGGCTCCTGGATAGATGAATTCCATAGCGCGGAGTGGCGTGTGCAAATGACATATATAGGCGGGACCCAGAAGAGGATAAGATCTTTGTATCTCACCCTCTCTATCAAAGAACCTGACCCCACAATACGGGAAACACGACAACACCGCGAGCGTGCCTCCAAGTGTACCATTGCAAAGAGCTGGAAGCGGGGCGGAGCCAGCGGGGGGCGGAGCCGGCCAGGGGCCCGAGCGCGGGGCGGAGCCGGTCGGGGGCGGAGGCCGCGCGGGAGCTCGCTGCTGCCCCCTGGCGGCCACCGCCGGCCCGGCAGCTCTCCCGCCTGCTGGTGAGATTAACCAAAACCCCACACCCGTGCTGCCCGTAATTACACGCTATTTGCCATTTCGCTAATGCCGGCAAGTTGGCGGGGTGCATGGATTTCAAAGTACACCTGCCATTTGTTTTTGGTCAGCAGGGGTGTTAGTGCAGTGGGCCCAGCCACCCCGGGACGCTCCCCTCCCACTTCTGAGTGTCCTGGATCCAGGCGTGCCTCCACCTCTGCTTCTGACCTGCTTAGGGTGCCTGGGAGGCAACCGACGATGGCTCGGGTGCCACCCACATGGGAGACCCCAGTGGAGTTCTGGGCTCCTGGCTTGGCCTGGCCCAGCCCTGGCTGTTGCAAGCACTTGGGGAAGAGAACCAGTGGATGGAAGATCTATTTTTCTCTTGATCACTCTGCCTTTTAAATGAATAAAAAATAAACATTTAACAAAAACCTACAGAAAGACCTCTCTTTCTGTAACTCTGCCTTTTTTTCCTTTTCAAAAATTTATTTATTTGAAAGTCAGAGTTAACAGAGAGAGAGAGAGAGAAAGAGAGAGAGTCTTCCATCTGCTGGTTCACTCCCCAGATGGCTACAACAGCCGGAGCTGTGCTGATCCAAAACCAGGAGCCAGGAGCTTCTTCTGGCTCTCCCACGCGGGTGCAGGGACCCAGCACTTGGGCCACCTTCTACTGCTTTCCCAAGCCACAGCAGAGAGCTGGATCAGAAGTGGAGCAGCCGGGACTTGAACCATCGCCCATATGGGATCCCAGCACTGCAGGTGGCGGCTTTACCTGCTGTGCCACAGCGCCGGCTGCATCAAATAAAATAAATCTGTTTTTTTTAAATCTGCCTTTTAGCAATTTTGAAATACACATTACAGTGTTAGCTATGCTCACTGCAGCCGTTGGGGTCTCTTGCTGCCCCGCCTCCCTGGTGCCTCTTCCTCTACCTGTCTACCTGCCCTGCCTCATCCAGAAGCTGCCCCCCATCTCTCCAGATCTTTTCCTGGGATTTCTTTCCCTGTGACCCTGGGTGACAACTGACTGGGTGAGGAGAGGCCAGCTGGGGACCTGCCCTCCACTGCTGGGGCTGGGAGAAACTCCGGCTCCCCAAAGTTGGGGGCTGGGGGCGGACGTGAAGAGGGGTCCCGGGGCTGGGGTCTGGAGCCCAGTGAGGGAGGGAGGGAGGAGGAGACGCTATTGCTGGGGGGGAGGGCGGGGTCAGAGGGTGTGGGGGAGGGAGGAGTCGGAGGGTGGGGGGAGGACGGGGTCAGAGGGTGGGGGGGAAGGAGGAGTTGGAGGGTTGCTGGTAGGGAGGTGTCGAAGGTTGTGTGGGAGAGAAGATGTCAGATGTGTTGGAAGGTGGGGACAGGTGGCGGATGGTTCTCCAGCCTCATCCCCAGACAAGCGGAGTTGAGCACAGGGCAGCGGGGGGGGAGGAATTACCCCGGCCCCCCCCCCAGGCCAGAGGGCTCCTTTTTATTAGTGTGGGGAGGGGGCTGGGAGGGGACTGCGCGTGTCACCTGGTGATGAGGCTGAAGCTAGCCACTGTGGAGGTGGGCGA